TTGTCATTTTTCTTGTCCTTGTTACGGCCAAAAGTTTAACAAATTAATTCACTCTCATACTAGGTGTTAGATGTTTAGTATGAGGATTTGTGATATAATTTAAATCATAATTCGTAACTTGTTATGATATTTTTTCATAAAAAATACATATAAATTAAGAATAATTTTAAATTTATGAACTAAATATCCACACAATTTAAAGAAAAAAAAATGCAAAGTTCAAAATCCCATCGTACCACATATTGCCACCATGAGTCCAACGAACGTCTAATCCAAGAAGAGGAAGACTGCACGAACAGATAATTGGGAACAAGAAGTGACTTGAATTTTCTAGTGGTAGTCTTATCCGAAGATGAATTATTGAAGTAGCTGAAGCTTGAATTCAAGTTTTTATTTTTATTTTTTATTTTTTTTATCCCTTATTTTTTATCCACCCTTGCAATTCCAAGTTTACAACTACCGTACAACAATTATAAGCCAACGCAACTTTTTTTTAATAAATAACCAATATGCAGTTGTAAGATCAGATCATTTCCCAAAAAAGAAAAAAAAATAAAAAGAAAGAAAATAAAAGATTAAAAGCTCAACTTTAAGCTGAGAAGCCACAGGTATGCATGCATTGCATGCACATTCCACTTTCACACAGAGCATGTTTGTTTAAATGTAGAGTATTCTATTACATAATAATAAATACAATGTTTAATATAAACATTGTATAGTATAAATTAATACGGACGGTAAATTAGAATAATTTATATCGTATTATAAAGTATGGTTCGTTTTTAACGTACTTTGTTGTAATTTTTTTACCGAATCTATAATCCATATCGAGGTTTGGACACGATTGGAGTCGGGATAAGTCCAACAAAAAGTCATGTCATAATCTATAATTGTTTATGAGACGTTTGGTTCGTGGATTAGAATCATAAGATTAAAACCATTTTTGATTTACGTGTATTTTTTATGAGAGAAAACACTATAGCGAACCATGAACTATGATTCAAATCAGGGTACGAATCCCCCAACCAAACAACCCCTTAAAGATTGAGGGGGCTCAATGCAAATTTATATTTTTTAAAAAAATTATGTTTTGACACCTCAATTTTTGTAAAATTACATGTCGTCTCAAACTTTTTTAAAAAATTATATTTTTACCTCAAATTTTGTTAAAAATTAAATTTTGGCTTTAAAGTTTTGAAAAAAAATCATATTTTGACCATAAAATTTTTTAAAAATTATATTTTGACCCTTAAATTTTTAAAATTTTACATTTTGATCTTTTATATAATATGTCATGATACTAAATATCATGTTGTATTATAACAGTACAATATAATATAATATACCTTATATAACATAATACGGTATAAGTTACCAAACATGGTAATAGTGTTTAGCTGAAAAATTTTCCATATGGATTCATCACAGTTAGTTGTTGTTTGGTGTTGCTTTTGAAATGGTCTTGCACGTTTTCCAAGCTGGTCATCTTGGAAATCATCTAGAAATAACATTTGGGCCCCTTTTTTTCGCTGATTTGAGTTTTACTATAATAAAAAGGTCTCAGAAATAATCACATCTAATTTTTTTGTTACAGTAAAAAACTCTCACACAACATCACATCTCAACTCGAATTAACGAACTGAATGGACCCTTGGTTAACATACTATGAGGAATAAAATAAAATAAAATAAACGAAAGATAGAGGAATCTAGGTGTTACTTTCCTTCTTCCAATTTCATTTTCTATAAACAGGACAAAAAAATTTTCAAAACAGAGCCAAGTTTATTTATTTCTTTTAATATTCAAAACAATCACTCTAGAAAACACAACCAATGCATTTTTAGAAACGGTTCTAACACCTTTTCCATAATTCTCATTTCAACTTTTATTCGGTTACATTTTTTAGTTATGATAACTTGAGTGTAAATTTTAAGTTGAATTTGAGTTATAATTTGAGTTTGTGTTTGGATGTGCACATTTGAGTTATGATTTGAATTGAGAATCTATTTGAGTTTGTGTTTGAGTGAGTCAAAACTTAAGTTTATATTTAGATAGTATTTTAATAAAAACTCAATGGTGATGAAAAATTTTAATAGGGTATATGGGTGGGATTTTATTCGTCTTTTCGTTGTAAACGCATAGAAAAAAAATCATCTCAATCAGAATTAAAACAAAACAGTTATGACGTTTTTAAGAATAAAAAAAATATTGTTCATTAACTTGAGTTTGAGTTTACAAAACTTGAGTTGAAAGGAAAACTTGAACTCAGATTTTAGCATCAAACTCAAGTTCGAACTCAAATTTTACAAATGAACATGAACTTAAATAAAGTTAGAACTTGAGTTCAAACTTTTTTTGAATTTTACTCTAAAAGAACAAGCACAGTCTCCCTTGTCGCGACATTTATAATGCAATTAGCAGAGTTTAAAAACTCCCTTAGAATCTTGTATTTTGAAATGTTTCTCATAATAATAATTTTTGTTCTCTAATTTATTTTGGAAAATAAATTTTTTTCAAAGGCGTTTCTCTTTAGACATGTGAGGGCAACTTGTATTTTGATATGTTTCTCATAATAATAATTTTTGTTCTCTAATTTATTTTGGAAAATAAATTTTTTTCAAAGGCGTTTCTCTTTAGACATGTGAGGACAACACAATTAGTTATAAGCCCATCCACCGCAATCATAAATTCAGAGTTGAAGTCATCCTATCCTACTTAAAAGTTGTGGCATTCTCCTTTCTCCCTTAAATTAAAATAAATAAATGAATAACGTTTATCTTTAAATACGTAGTGCTCGTTTAAATTAAAAGTTCAAACTAGGTGATTTAAATCAAAATATAAATTTTGTGAGAAAAACACTATAACACCTAGAACTTTTCAAATTTTAATTTTTTGTGAGCTAAAATACTATTTGAATTAAAACTAGATTGGTTTAAACCCTCAAAACTGAACAAGCACGTAATTTTTTCATACAATCTTCTGAAATATTTTTTTTTTGAACATGACAAATAAAAAAAAACTTTTTAAGTAATTGCTGCATTAAGATGATTTTTCTCAAATGTGTTCAATTTTTTTTTTAATCTTAGGTTTATTGTTTCTGTTTTTCGACCAATATGAAATATCACTTTTACCTCAACTTTTGAAGGTTGAACACAAGCTTTGGTGCTTGATCTTTTTATTTTTATTTTAATTTTTTCAAAATCTTGTATTCTAAAATTTTTTCATTAATTTTTTCTCTAATTTGGCCTTTTAAATAATATTTCTCAAATATACTCGATTTAGAAATTAATTTCACTTAGGCTTCGTTCATTTCACCGATTCGAGTTTTTAGTTTTAAGTTTTTACAGTAAAAAACTCTCAAAAAATGTCACATCTAACTTCTTCTGCCACAGTAAAAAAGCTCTCAAAAAATGTCACATCTCAACTCGAATTAAAAACTCGAATCTGCGAAGTGAACAAGGCTTTAGTCTTCTAAAATATTATTATCTCAAATAGCGTTTTAACAAATAACTTTTTCCTCCAAATTGTCCTATCGAAATATTTTTTTTATTCAAAGTATTTTTTTAATTTTATATTTACTTTTTATCCTAAAAAAAAGATCTTATATTTACTACTTAAGCGTTATGTCCAAATCGCACGTTTTAATTTTCATAATAAGTCTTAGACCTCATTCGTTTTGCGAATTCGAGTTTTTAATTTCAGCTGAAATGTGACATTTTTTAAGAGTTTTTAATTATAGCAAAAAAAATTAAATGTGACATTTTTTGAGAGTTTTTAACTGTAAAAACTTAAAATTAGTACAAGGGTTGAAGGGCTCTGTCGAAAGCCTATAATTACGATGAGCCAGGGGCAATACGAGAACACCTCTATATTTATAACATCATAAAAGAGAGGATACATATTATTTTTTCAATATTGTTTTGCTCAACCATTATTATATATAATATAATTTTTTTGAGTTTTTTCAACCCTTATTTTACAATATCATTCTAAAACGTTTATGCTAGTGCTTTTCTATTTAAAAACAATTATAAATTGCTTATATTTACTTATGTTTACATCTCAGTGCTTGGAGGTGCAATGTTCAAGTTCATCAAATTATAATAACTAGCATATGAAAACTAATTCTTTATATTAGAACATTATAGATCATACTCCATTAGCCGTTAGATCGAAGCTCTCTTCGCAATCTATAATGGCCAAAGGAACGCTCAACCCCCTTTTCCCTTTTAAATAAAAAAATTGGGGGTAGGTAAGGGGCTTGGTAAATTTTATTGTTTTCGTATTTTATGGTTAATGTCTAGTAGTATAAAGTACTATATGCTAATACAGTTAGAAGTGACAAATGGATATACTCAATCTGTCCTTTTTCTTGCTAGAAGAAAGGTGGTTTAGATGTCGTATTCCAAGGTCTTAAAGCCATCGTTCCTTCACCAACCAAAAAAAAAAAAAAAGCATCAATAAACCAAAATTGTCTCATGAAAATGATTATCAACAACATTAACACGAACAAAAAAAACATTAATTGGTCAACATTACGTCAGAAGCTTGTGTCTTGATCATCTTACTTAGGAGTTAGGACTACTAACTGTTGAATTAATCTTTTTTTTTTTATTCAAATGCTTACAAGAGTAATTACAATTTGCAAATTAACATTTAAGATCTTCAAAGATGAGTATTTTTTTTTTATTTTCCTTGGCGAGAGGAAAAAAAGAAACATGAGTATTATAGATCTAAATTATCTTTAATGTAATGGTGGAGAAAAAATGATTATAACAGAGAGGAGATCAAGAAACTAAATTGACTTTTACAGCACTCCAATTGGTTTAGCTGGGCCAACTGGTGCTTAATCTCAAATCAACCAAAAAACACAGTTTAACATGCCTATATAAACAATTTCTCACTCTCTATCTGCATCACTCTACTATGAAAGTCGCAAAAATTTGTCAATTTCCCAACTTATAATTCATCAACACATAAAAAATTTGGAGACAAAAATTATGGAAGTTTCTCCTATTCCAATACCATTATGTTTTGCGGTCATTCTTTTTAGCACGAGTCATCTTTGTGTATTTTCTGGGGTTGCCATTGCACAGAATGAAGTTGCTACAAGGCACTATAAGTTTGATGTATGTGACTATAATTTCAAGGTATTTTGTGGGTAATGCAAATTTTATACCATTTTTCTCTTGCTGATACGTAGAAATGGTTGTCGTTTTGAGTTGGCAGATAAGGTTGCAAAATGTAACGAGATTGTGCCACACAAAGAGCATTATAACAGTTAATGGGAAGTTTCCTGGCCCTCCCATATTCGCCAGAGAAGGAGACAGAGTGGTGGTTGAAGTTGTCAACCATGTCACTATTCATTGGTATGAAAAAAAAAGAGTCAATTTTCACTTTAACTTAAAGGTGTTTTCTATGATAGCAAACCAGAAACTCAAGTTTCAAAACGTTAAATAAAATCACATCATTTTTTTTGTTCATTGGTATGAAAAAAAAATTGTCAATCACTTTAACTTAAAAGGAACTTTCTACGGCAGGGATGCTCAATCTGTAGTGTATCTTTCTAAATATTAAAATTTGTTAAAATTGGATCATTTTTTTAGATGTAAATGTAACAAATAACTAATACAGAGATATGACAATCAGTAGGGTATGTTTTTCGTAACTTACCATAACAATTCTCATTGACTTTGGCTTTAACTTTCATTATCCCATTTTCTTTTCCAATATGAAAAAAAAAAACTGTGGCAAGAATTATTGTACTATAGGAATTCTCATTAACTTTGGCTTTAACTTTCCTTTTCCTATTTTTTTCCAATATGAAAAAAATGCTATATGGCAAGAGTTATTCTAACAATCAAGGTTGTGAATACACAAAAAACTCTGTTAGAGCATCTCCAGTGCATTGACTTAGCTTTTAGATAAGGGAAAAAAATAATAATAATAATACCTGAATGCAAGAAAAAATGTTATATACTAAATGATATATGCTTGATGATAAATTTGGCATATGCTATACTTAGTCTATTTACATTCTGTTTCACCATGTTGGGTATGGTTGTTGAGTGTTGTTTGATGAAAACAGGCACGGTATTCGACAACTTCAAAGCGGGTGGGCGGATGGACCGGCATATATAACACAATGCCCCATTAGAACTGGGCAGAGCTATGTGTACAATTTCACTATAATAGGCCAAAGAGGGACTCTCTGGTGGCACGCCCACATTTCATGGCTAAGAGCTACTACCTATGGTCCCATAATTATCCTCCCCAAGCTAGGAGACTCTTACCCTTTTGCCAAACCACACATGGAAATCCCCATCCTGTTTGGTACTACAGAAAATTCACCAACAAATTAACTTTTGCCAAGTTCACAATTCATTGTTTTATACCATGTACATTATTTTAGAACCTAAATGAGACTACCATAAACTACAGGTGAGTGGTGGAATGCTAATACAGAAGCAGTTATCTCTCAGGCACTTCAGACTGGTGCTGGTCCTAATGTCTCTGATGCATACATAATAAATGGATTTCCTGGACTATTATACAATTGCTCTGCTAAAGGTACCACTTTAAAGAAAAGTAATGAAAAAAATGGTAACATGCACTAATACACTTTAAACTTTCGTCATTTGTAAGTTGGATTCTAAACTCATTTTGGCTTTTAAGACCCTAAATTTAGCATTCTTAACAATGCAGTGTAACCGACAACTGACGTTAATTATAGTTCTAAATGCTAAAATGTAGGTTTCCATTTGCCAACCAATAAAACTTTTTGGATTCATTTTGCACAAAGCTAGGGCAGTCCTTCCACTAATTGACATTTGTTATGTACTTATATTACAATTGCAACAAGTTTTCAAATTTAGGGTCCTATATGCAAAAACTAAAAGTTCAGGATTCAAACTACTAAACACCAATAAATGGAGGGTGCAGCAGTGCAAAAAACCTTTAAAAAAAAACTTGGGGTTGATTAACTAGTACTTCTCACTAATTCTTATTCTAATTTTTCACAGATACATTCAAGCTGAAAGTGAAGCCAGGGAAAACTTACTTACTCCGTCTGATCAATGCAGCACTCAATGATGATCTCTTTTTCAGCATAGCCAACCACTGCCTCACTATAGTAGAAGCTGATGCGGTATATGTTAAGCCTTTCAAAACCAATATTCTCCTCATTGCCCCAGGACAGACCACCAATGTCCTTCTCAAAACCAAAAGCCACTATCCAAATGCCACTTTCTTAATGTCAGCCAGACCATACTTCACAGGCCAAGCCACATTTGACAATTCCACCACTGCAGGCATTCTAGAGTACACACAACAATCAAAAGGCCTTCCAGTCTTGAAACCAACTCTCCCCGCCATTAACGACACTGCCTTTGCGGCAAACTTCAGCCAGAAATTCCGCAGCCTGGCCAACGACAAATTCCCTGTAAAGGTCCCACAAACCGTCAAAAAACGCTTCTGATTCACCGTTGGCCTCGGGAGCAGCCCGTGCCTCAAGAACCAAACCTGCCAGGGCCCTAATGGGACAAAATTCTCGGCTTCGGTCAACAACATCTCCTTCTCACTCCCCTCCACAGCAATCCTCCAATCCTACTTCAATGGCAAGTTCAATGGGGTTTACACAACTGATTTTCCTAGCTTTCCTTTGGTGAAATTTAATTACACGGGCACACCACCAAATAATACTAATGTTAGCAATGGCACAAAAGTTGTGGTCCTACCATTTAACAGAAGTGTTGAGTTGGTCTTTCAGGGCACTATTATTCCTGGTGCTGGGAGCCATCCTCTTCATCTTCATGGTTACAATTTCTTTGTAATTGGTCAAGGTTTTGGCAACTTTGACCCCCGAAAGGACCCTGCAAATTTCAATCTTGTTGACCCTGTCGAAAGGAACACCGCGGCTGTTCCTTCTGGTGGATGGCTGGCTGTTCGTTTCTTTGCTGATAACCCTGGTCAGTACTTCCCAAATAAGCTACTCTTTTGCATTTGCACATCATATATAAAAATACACACACACACATATATTGATATGATGTGAGGCTTATAGCTCCCATTATATTAAAAAAGAAATGAAACTATAAGAATTCGAATATTGTATTATATCCAACCACTTGTATTATACATATTTATTTTAAGAAAAATGGTTTTTTTTTTTTTCCCTCCCAAAGTAGATCAATTTTTCTTTCGTTTCCTTTCACTGAAAAAGTTACCCCCTTCAATTCTTTTATGGACCAAAATATCAGTATTGTCACGTAGTATTATAGCGTGTGACAAGACCAATATATTGTTGGTTTCTCAAATCGGATTTTTAAAAGAAATTGTACGGAAGCGTGGTATCGATCGAATCACATAAATCAAAATTTAATGCGATCATTATTTCATGTTAATTTAACTACAAAGATATTAAAGAAAAGAATGAGGATTTGACCGTCGTTCAATTATGACAAAATTCTTGAACTCATCCAACACCGTCTTGAGCTCTTAAATTCCAAGAACACCACGGTTCTTTCTCAATGTATCTCTGGATTAACGTGAACTCGAACGTGTGGGCGTTCTAATGGGTTTCTCAACACATGAGATGGATGAATAGGGAAGCCACTTATAGTTATCACTCACTTTTCTCAAAAGTATACGATGGCACTCAATAAATTTTCTTTAGTTTTTCTTTTGTTCTCCCGTTCTTTCCTTTTCCTTTTTTTTTCTTTTCTTTGAAAAAAAAACTTTTTTGTTCCTCTCAAAAAAACCAGAACTCATTCCCGTTTTTGAGTAAATGTGCAGCCGCACATTTACTCCATTTCCTCATGGTGAGGAAACATGCAACAACACGTTTCCTCCCACTCCCCTTTTTCTTTATTTAAAATGAGGAAACGTGCTGCACGTTTTCTCTTTTATATATATATATATATACACACACACATTAACAGGGAGAGTGAAAATGGAGGAAACGTGGAGAGTAAAGGAAAATTCCCTTTTATTAAAATAATTAAATTCATCCAAATTAATTTAAAACAATTTTAAATTAATTTTAATATTAATTAATCAAATTAATTAATATATGTGTATTTAGAATTCTCATAACCCAATATGATATATTCAGTTCACATTAATCTTATGGAGCCATTGACAGGAACTATGGACATTATTATTTTAAGCTCCAATAATTTTGACAATTAATTAACACCTTAATTAATATATCAAAATTATTAATTCCAAATTACTCCACTATAAATTTGGAATTGCACTCTCAAAATAATAAAATAATTATGTTCACGGAATTTGTGTTGTCCATTGATATAGTCACTACATACGAATTAATCCTCCATAAACGGTTTATAATTAAAGCTAGGTATTTTACGTTAACCTCTTTAATTATATCTTTCTCCATAAGTACCATTGATCCTCTAATGAATAATATATTTTATGATCTAATCATAAAATTGAGCGCTCTTATTATTCAAGTCCCGAATTAATACTTATGGGAACCATCCATCTACTTCATTATGAAGGAATGGATTTCATTTTGTCAATTAATATTCCCAGTTATTTATTTTACTATGCTCCCAATATACCAAGACTTTGACACTATTCACATGTGTCATTACTTAATATGTCAAAGAACATAATATCATAAATAGGAGTTTATTAATTACTCAGAATTAAGATTAATTCATATATGACCATCATTGATTAATATTGAATATTCTATTTAATAACGGAATTTATTAGATATTCATAATTAATTGCGTTCCGGTCCTATGTAATCATATTACATAAAATGCTTTCATTCCAATAATCTCATTATTAATAATCTGGGATAAGATTGTTTGATTCAGAATGTAATGAACCGCATTAGTAATTTTAAATTAAAGATCCCAACTTTAATTTATAATTACGGACAAGTTTAGATTATTTTATTTCAAACATTATCCTCTGCATATAACAATTATATACAATAAAAAAAATCTAGAGATTTTGATATTTATAAAACATCACATGTATGCAAAACAATATTGAAAAAATTCCTCATTTCATTGATAATCAGCAAAATATTTACATCTTATTTGATTTATGGGCATATATCCCAACAATCTCCCACTTGCCTTAAAGCAAATGAGTCATGTCTCTAAGTCCCATACTTTCAAGATGTCTTTCAAAACTCCCAGAATCAGTATATCCAATAGGAATCAAATCCCTACTAGAGTATATAAGCATATGGTTTCTCGTCCTCCTCAAATATTGAGTTTGTGTTTGACTGTAACCCAATGATCTAATCCTGAGTTTGACTGGTATCTGCTAACCAAACTGCATAGCATATGTCAGGTCTAGTACATAGCATTGCATACATCAGGCTACCAATTGCCGATGCATAGGGAACTCGTCTCATATCCTCTTCCTCTTGAGGTGTCTTTGGACATTGCTCCTTGGAGAGATAAACTCCATGTCGAGAAGGTAAATTTCCTTTCTTGGAGTTTTGCATCGAAAACCTGACAAGCACCTTGTCAATATACGATGCCTGAGACAATGCCAAAAGCCTATTCTTGCGATCCTGGATAATTTGGATCCCAAGAATATAGTTGGCTTCTCCCAAATCCTTCATTTAGAATTGACTAGCTAGCCAGTTCTTTACTTTGGATAACGATTCTATATCATTCCCAATGAGCAGAATGTCATCTACATAAAGAACCAAGAAGACCACTTTATCTCCTTGAATTTACTTGTAGACACAAGGTTCACCAAGATTTTGTTCAAAACCATAAGATTTTATAGCTTCATTAAATCTGATGTTCTAAGATCTAGATGCTTACTTTAGTCCATAAATGGACCTCTGTAATTTGCAGACTTTCTGCTCTTGGCCTTCTACCATGAAACCCTCTGGTTGGACCATATGAATGGTCTCTTCAAGATGGCCGTTCAGAAACGCCGTATTGACATCCATTTACCATATCTTATAGTCATAATGAATAACAATGGATAAGAGTATGCGGATGGATTTTAGCATGACTACGGGAGAAAAAGTATCCTCATAGTCTACTCTTCCTTTTGGGTAAAACCCTTTGCAACCAATCTTGCTTTGAACGTATCAACTTTTCATCAGCTCATCTCTTTCTCTTATAGATCCATTTGCAACCAATAGGCTTAATGCTTTCTGGTAGGTCTATAAGCTCCCAGACAGAATTTGAGTATATAGATTCCATTTCAAGTTTCATGGCTTCTTGCCATTTTTCTTGATCAATATAATCCATTGCCATCCTGTATGACAATGGATCATCTTCACTGCCATCGGTGACTGCAACATTTGCTTCTCCATTTTCACGATAGCGGGTTGGCAATCTTATTTCCCTCCCACTGCGTCGTGGTGGCGGTGGTGTTTGATCATGGTCAGTGGTCTCCCTTCTTTGTCGTCCAACAACTGTTGTCGGCATGTGGCTAATCTGATCAGCCAGCAACTCTTCCAGAACTATCTTGCTTCTGGGCTTGAAATGTGCCATATAGTTATGCTCAAGAAACGTATCGTTTGTCGATACAAACACTTTGTTATCCTGAGGACTATAAAACATACCTCATCTTGTTCCTTTTGGATAGCCCACAAATATGCAGACTTCCGAGCGAGGTTCCAACTTCCCAGTCTTTCCCTTCCACACATGTGCTGGGCACCCCCATATGCGAATGTGTCTCAAACTAGGTTTGTGACCATTCCACAACTCGAAGGGTGTTATGGGGATTGACTTAGATGGAACTAAGTTCAGAATGTATACTGTTGTTTGAAATGCATATCCCCAGAATGAAGTGGGTAAAGAAGAATAACTTAACATTGATCTCATCATGTCAAGTAAGGTGCGGTTTCTTCTTTCAGCTACACCATTTTGTTGTGGTGTGCCAGGTGCAGTGAGCTGAGATATTATTCCATTTTCAATCAAATGGTCTTTGAATTTATAATCCAAGTACTCTCCTCCTTGATCCGATCGAAGAGTTTTGATCGATTTGCCTAGTTGCTTTTCAGCTTTGGCGCGGAATTCTTTGAACTTTTCAAAGGTTTCAGATTTCTTTTACATCAAGTATGCATATCCGAATCTCGAATGATCATCAATAAATGTGACGAAGTATTCATAGCCTCCTCTCGCTTTGACATTCAAAGGACCACATACATCAGTATGTATGATTTCAATGGGTGTCTTTGCTCTTTCACCCTTTGCTGAAAATGGCCTCCTGGTCATTTTTCCTTCTAGACAGGATTCACAAACCGGTAGAGTGCCAACCTTTAGCTCTCTCAAAGGACCATCCTTTGCTAGTCTTTCAATCCTATCTATGTTTATATGACCTAGCCTTAGATGCCACAAGTATGTTTCATTTTCGTTAGAAACCTTTCTTCTTTTAGGGGTTGGTTCAGCGACTTTGAACATTCGGTTTGTAGCATTTCGTTGAATATGGGTTTAACAAAATAAAGACCATCATCAACAAAACCAGAACAAATATGAATTCCATTCTTAGATAAAGATACAGAGTCAATATCAAAAGAAACTGAAACAAATTGTTCATGCAATCTAGAAACCGAAAGCAAATTCCGTTTGAAATTTGGAATAAAATAAACATTGTCTAACAATAAATATTTATCATTTGCAAAAGACAGTTGCACTATCCCTACTGCCGTCGTTGAGATCCTTGCCTCATTGCCGACTCTCATTTGGAAAGATCCCTCTTCAAGATCCCTGGACGTTTCCAGCATCTGTAAAGAAGTACAAACATGATTAGATGCCCCTGAATCAACTATCCAGGTAGAGAAGTCATTCTTAACTAAACATGTTTCCATGACCAGTAAATCTGATTTACCTTGCTTCTTCACTTTCAGCTCATCGAGGTACTTTTTGCAGTTCCTCTTCCAATGGCCATCCTGGTTGCAGTGGAAACACTTTCCCTTAGACTTTGGAGCAGCCTTGTTCTGTTTGTTCTTCTG